TTCTTTTTTGTGAGTGTAAAACACTTAAATTAAATAGTTCCATTTTGAACTAAGAAGCATAATTACATAGTGGCAATTAAACTATTTTAGAAGGAAAAAAATCTATTGTGCAACCTAATTTTTAAGATTTGATTTAAAATGGATGTTTTATTAATTAACAACTATGATGTTTAGGTTTTATTAGAACTTGTTCTTTAAAGCAGTGTATTATTACTATAGAACATAGCTTTTAGAGTGAGGGATACTTGTGGTGCAGTTTTATTTTTCCTGAAAATAGGGTTAGCTAAGCCTAATGAACAGTTTTTAGAATGAATGTGATTGTTGCAAACATTCATCATTGTTATTAATATTTAATTAGGTGCAATACAAACAGATGGTTGATTGGACCAGAGAACTTGACTACTTGGATACAACATGGAAGTACAGAAAGTGGAGACCAAAAGTTTCTGTGAAAGAAAAGTATGTTTGTGTCATTGTATACATTACCCATCATTCTTTCCTGTTAATTTTGTGTTCTTTGTTCAAAAATACAAAAAATTTACCATAATATTTAATCGATTATATCCTGGATTCTTTTGTGTTCACCATCCAAATAGTTTGATGTTTGCTCTTCTAATACTTACCAGAATTCTATATGTTTTCTTATGAGAATGCTCCCAGTCAAATGTTAAATGACACAAAATTTCCACCCAGTGTTATAATAGGAACAAGTAATAATTAATACCAAGTTTTTTTTAATAACTTCATACAGCAGTTAGCTAAAGGATAAGAAAAAAGATGTAGAATGGATAATTTTCCTGAATAAGCAAAAAATATAATGAACTAAGACTAATTCAAAAAGCAGAAAAAATAAGCAAAAAATATAATGAACTAAGACTAATTCAAAAAGCAGAAAAATAAAATGAACTTTTATTCCATTATGTTAACCAAATGTACATGGGATTGATCCCATATTGAAGAAGGAATATTAACTATAATTCTGAATTTACCATATCTATGTACACAAAATGTGGCATGATTTTAATAAAATGTGGAAGTCTGTTGTGCACAAAAAACAGATGTGTTACAAAGGTAATTGCACTTAAGATATGTCTTTGAATTGATGACTTCAGTCTGACTCGGACTCTGACAAGTCAAATTTCAAGGTGATGTTCTTTTAAAGAATATAAATGCTTTTGTTTGTCATACAACTTGCATAACCTTTAGAACATATGAAATCCATTTCTGCAATTTTTTTCAATATCCCTGTATATCTAGTATTTACTCTCTTTTCCTACAAATTGTCAGTAAATCAGCAATGTAGGGTAAAAATGAATAGTTGATAACTCAGACATCAAATACATAATACAATGTGGAATGGAATTCTGTAAAAGATTGTGGCTTTTGCACTTTGACCTCAACCTATGTAATAAAGTTAAAGATTATACAATAAACTTCTGTTAAACGCATTCCTTATGTTCTTCAAAAATAAATGATGTTTATATTATTTTCTTTATTCCATAGTTCTTTGGAACTATTATTGGTTTCAAAATTTTAACAATTGTTTATACATTTTTAAACAAAGTTGCTAAGGAAAAACATAATTGTTTTAGTTTACTTTTAATGAAGATTTTCATGGTTCAACCTTCCCATTTAATTCAAAGCCAAAGCTTTTAGCTTACCACAGTAGGTTTATTAGTTGAACTGGTGTTTTCCATATAACTTCAGCTGTAATGTTTACATATGAGTTTATAACAACAAGCTAGCTTACTATCAGTATGACTTCTTTTCAGAATAATGCCATTGTTAATGGAAATTAGAGATTCCACTTGAAACTTGTAGTGTTTTTGTTAGTACACCATGTTGTCTTCTCACTTTGTTAACACTATTTTTCATTCCTGAACACAAACTAGTGTAAATGTAATTTATTCTGTGTGTTTCTGTAGCACTAAAGCATGGTGGGATTATGCAATAGATGCTCATATGGAGTCTCAAAGACAGAAAAACCAAAGAAGTACTTGGGATTTTGTGCTAAAAAGAGCAAGAATGAATGTTGAATATTTTAAAATTTACCACATTCATCTGACACAGCCAAGTAGTTTAACAACAGCAATGAAGGTATGGAACCAGCTATTTATTTTCATAAAAACAATGTTTAGCAGTGTTCCCTCTAAGATGCGAGGCTGCTTAACAACCAATCAAGTGCTGGGAACTTCATTATCCCCGCCGTGCACATCCTCAGTAATGGTGAGGAGTCTCAACATTTTAACATCCTCAATGACCCTGGCAGTTGATAGGCCTAAAGTCCAAATAACCAACTGGTAACATTGCAAAACAGCCTAATGATTCAATAAGGTCGATGGTCTGAAAATATCCCCCCCCCAGAAAAGAAAAACTGGTAGTGCACATTTGATTGTTACGTTGATACTTGTGCACATGAAAAAATTCATTCTGCACATGGATTGAAAAAAATTAGAGGGAACATTAATGATTGTTTGTCCTTAACAAAAATTTTCCACCTGCTGTAATAATCTGTTATGCTTATAGCATTTTATGAAAACAGTTTTGTTAGCTTTGTTCAAAATTCTACAGATCCGAATGCTATTCTTAACTTACAATATTTCATAAGTTACTTTTTTTCTCTGAACCTGATCTATTATTGTTTATTATCTTTAAGGCTTTCTATGCACATGATTTATTACTTATATATTATCTTTTCCTCTCTATAAACTTGGTGTTTTTTAACACACATTTCAGAATCAGATGGATAACATTGAACAGGATTTGAACTTTGAAGAATTGTGTACACTGAGAGAACTTGTTTTTAAAAACGTTACTGCTGAAGAAAAGACTAAAAAGGTTGGTGGGACGTTATTATGTAGAACAATTTTCTAACATTTATTGAAATATGAGGAACTGAATATTTAGGTTGGGGCTTCGTTAGAACCAAAGTTATAAAATTTCTATGTTTTCGTATTAAAACTTGTTTCTCTGTGTCAAAGAATATGTGTTTTATAAAGTCAAGTAGGTAAAGATATGATAAATACAGGTCTTAGGTACCTGATACTTAACTCTTACAGTGTAGGGTATTTTTAGGCATACGTTGCATCTTTGAATCATCCTAGCCAAAAGTTATTCATTTGCCAGACTAAATATTATGTGAACAAATGAATGTAATTGTTTTTTAAGTTAGAGCTGGAGAATAACAATAACTTTTTTGTTTTTATTACTTTGGATAATGTAATAGATTTACCTGAAATTACTGTGGATAATGTGATAGATTTACCTGAAATTACTGTGGATAATGTGATAGATTTACCTGAAATTACTGTGGATAATGTGACAGATTTACCTGAAATTGCTGTGGATAATGTGACAGATTTACCTGAAATTACTGTAAATAGTGTGACAGATTTACCTGAAATTACTGTAAATAGTGTGACAGATTTACCTGAAATTACTGTGAATAGTGTGACAGATTTACCTGAAATTTGCTGTAAATAATGTGACAGATTTACCTGAAATTGCTGTAAATAGTGCGACAGATTTACCTGAAATTGCTGTAAATAGTGCGACAGATTTACCTGAAATTGCTGTAAATAGTGCGACAGATTTACCTGAAATTGCTGTAAATAGTGCGACAGATTTACCTGAAATTGCTGTGGATAATGTGACAGATTTACCTGAAATTGCTGTAAATAGTGTGACAGATTTACCTGAAATTGCTGTAAATAGTATGACAGATTTACCTAAATTTGCTGTGGATAATGTGATAGATTTACCTGAAATTGCTGTAAATAGTGCGACAGATTTACCTGAAATTACTGTGGATAATGTGACAGATTTACCTGAAATTGCTGTAAATAGTGTGGTAGATTTACCTGAAATTGCTGTGGATAATGTGACAGATTTACCTGAAATTGCTGTAAATAGTGTGACAGATTTACCTGAAATTGCTGTAAATAGTGTGACAGATTTACCTAAATTTGCTGTGGATAATGTGATAGATTTACCTGAAATTGCTATGGATAGTGTGACAGATTTACCTGAAATTGCTGTGGATAGTGTGACAGATTTACCTGAAATTACTGTGGATAATGTGACAGATTTACCTGAAATTGCTGTAAATAGTGTGACAGATTTACCTGAAGTTACTGGGGATAATGTGATAAATACTTGCTGTACTTCCTGTTGATATTATTATGGATCTTGGCGATAATTATTGTAAACATTGCAAATGTGATGACTTTTGGACAGTTAATTTTTGCAAAAAACAAACCAATAAAAAAACGATAATATTAATTCTACCATAATACTACTTCAATTTTTGTACAGTGTTTTAAAAAATATTTGTAACAGAATTTTAGCATTTATATTGAGGATTATCAATAATAACTACATGGTTTAAATAATTACTTGTTGTTATATGATTACATTCAGTGACTACTGAACCGGATTTAGTTAAAGTGAAAAGGTTGGAAAGTAAAATAACAGAAAGTGGACATGGTTATTTACTTTGAATGTTTTGATAATAAAAATTGATAATCACACTGTATATTTTAACTACCAGTTTGTATATTTTTGATGTTAAAACCATCATTATTTTTTATAAAAATGTACATCTTTTTTCCAGAGAATATCTTAAGTTTTATAAGTTGTACAGTTCTTGATAAGTTCTAGTTTTTATTAACTTGTGTTTAGAAAGAAGAAGTTTCACACTCCCGAGGGCAAGGTATATTGCAAGGATGGTTTCCTACGTGGACTGGGTGGTACTCAGATTCTAAAATATCTGGAAACACGGGTAGTGTTGAAGAAGAATATGATGATACATTATCTGGCAGTTCTAAGTCGACAATATCTTCTACATCTTCCCCAACTGAAGCAGAAATCTTGAAAAACAAAATAGGTAGTGTTGCTGGATATTGAAATTTTCGTTAAGTGTGGTATTTACTAGTGTCACTGGATATTGAAATTTTCGTTTAGTGTGGTATTTACTAGTGTCACTGGATATTGAAATTTTTGTTTAGTGTGGTATTTACTAGTGTCACTGGATATTGAAATTTTTGTTAAGTGTGGTATTTACTAGTGTCACTGGATATTGAAATTTTTGTTAAGTGTGGTATTTACTAGTGTCACTGGATATTGAAATTTTCATTAAGTGTGGTATTTACTAGTGTCACTGGATATTGAAATTTTCGTTAAGTGTGGTATTTACTAGTGTCGTTAGATAATGAAATTTACTTTATGTATGGTATTACTAATGTCGTTAGATATTGAAATTTTCGTTAAGTGTGGTATTTACTAGTGTCACTGGATATTGAAACTTGCTTTTAAGTGTGGTATTTACATGTCACTGGATTTTGAAATTTTTGTTTTTTTTCTGATATGTTAAATTTTTAATAATTTACCAAAATGAAACTGTGAAGGTTTAAAACAGTGCTCTATTTTATTAATAGCAAAACTATTAGTGATTATTTTGTACAAACTATAACCAAAAACATAAGATTTAAATTAATGTTTACAGTACACTTATTATGGCTCAACACTGTATAATTTAAAACAATGTCAACTGCTATTAAAAGTTTAAACAAATAGTGCTATAGGAATTTAATTTCATTTAAGGTTTGCCTTCTGGTGACTCATTGGTAAGCATTGAAGCTTGTATTTATAAAATTCGTGGTTTGATCCCAGCAGTGGCTACAGTGTAGATAGCACAAAAATATTGAGGGTTTAAAAAATAAAAAGAGGTAAACAGTTAAAAGTTTGTTTGATTTTTTTGTTGTTGTTATAACGTTTCAGAGGAAGAAATCTTGGATGCCCTCGACAGTGTGGAAAATGACACTTTATTGAAACGAGACACGGTTTTTGCCAAATTGAACTTCTGTCTGCATTATGGAACATTAACATTATTTGGCAGTAACACGTCTCACTCAACTGTTTCATCTCCTCAGAGTCCAACACAGGATTATGAAGTTAACAAACCTCTTATGGAACTTGAATTTTCGGATGTGAAGACCTGTATTGAAACAAGACCACGTACAGGCTCTTTGCTGTTTGAGCTAAAACTGGGAGCTTTGTATCTTCATGACAAAGTCACAACAAATAGCATATTCCCATGTGTGGTTATGCCACAGAATAAGGTAACATCATTAGTTATGTTGTTTATTTTTTACAAATTGAGTATTTATTCACAAACACATGATAAAATATCATAATTACAAAACTTGTGCTTTAAAAACTACAATTTATACAACAGTGCTAAATTTTTTACTGTACTTGTAAATTCATATTTTAATTGACTAAAATAAAGAAACAAAATAAAAATACAAGCTTAAATTATACATTTTCTAATAACCTGTTAGAAATTTTCAACTTTTTAAATCTTCTAGTCACCGCAGCTAACAAAACAAGAAAAATCCTCGTTAGCCATGACTCTTCTAATTTTTTTAGGCAGGATTACTGTAAATTAAATTATTTCATGTCAGTTTAAGATCTTCGAATATTTCTCATCACCATCTTAGAAGTATTCTGTTGAAACTGTATTTGCATATAAAGTACACTGTCGTAATAATAATTTTTTTTTCCTTTTTATTAGGTATATTTTTGTATGCCCACAAGACCAAGTGTGGGGGTGCGATATACCCGATTCAGTTTTATTACTCATCAAGATCTCTACCAGCCTACCCCCAAATTGAAATTCATTCAGGCAGGGTTCGAGTAAATTAATTTACGAGACCTTGGGTGTGGTCATATACATCATTCAAAAAGGGTTTGACCTCCTGAGTCCAAAATTGTAATTATATCTCAATTCGGTCAAGAGCTATGATCTAAAAGTTTTTACTTAAAAAATAACAACAATAATTCAGAGCTATTCCGTGAACCACTATGCCCTGGATAAAAATCAACGTGAAACAAAATTTAGTGACATAAAAGTTCCTCCTAGGGTTCTTGTTATAATTTTTTTATAAATCTCTAGGGAAATCCTGATGTTTCAGCGTTTGTTTAAAACAGTGTATATGTATTTGCTGACTTTGGCTTTACTGAAAACAAATTTTTATATTTTGAATCTTCACTTGTAGTTCTGACTTTCCAGTTTGCCACCTTAGCCAAATATACTGTAATGTGAGACTTAATATAACTTGAGAATATCTCTCTAATTTATCATCTAGATTTCTGGATGGAATGTATGTCCTAAACACTTATAATTTATTTTTCTTCTGCTGTAATTACTTGTATATCTTACATATATCTAATGATAAATGATGTAAGTAAACGAAAGTGCAATTAATATGCATGATCAAAAAAGTTAATTTATTGCCTCAATATCTTGTAAGAGGTAATCTTGAAATGAACAAGATTTTATTATGTACACAATATTTAAATTTCTTACAGGTAGTTGTGTAGTTTGGAGCATACTTTAACATTAATAGATACATTTTTAAAATATGCTGTGTGGTTTGGAGCATACTTTAATGTTAATAGATACATTTTTAAAACATGCTGTGTAGTTTGGAGCATACTTTAACATTAATAGATACATTTTTAAAACATGCTGTGTAGTTTGGAGCATACTTTAACGTTAATAGATACATTTTTAAAATATGCTGTGTGGTTTGGAGCATACTTTAATGTTAATAGATACATTTTTAAAATATGCTGTGTGGTTTGGAGCATACTTTAATGTTAATAGATACATTTTTTAAATATGCTGTGTAGTTTGGATCATACTTTAACATTAATAGATACATTTTTAAAATATGCTGTGTGGTTTGGAGCATACTTTAACATTAATAGATACATTTTTAAAACATGCTGTGTCATTTGGAGCATACTTTAACGTTAATAGATACATTTTTAAAACATGCTGTGTCGTTTGGAGCATACTTTAATGTTTTACCTGAATATACATTAAACAAAAAATCCTATACTACCAAGGGAACTTCATTAGTTTTAATACTTTCTGTGTAGTTGAAGGAAGATTTGTATGGAAAGTAAGCTGTAATTAATAAATATATTTTTTTTGTGACTTATGGTTATATTTTCATAAGAAGAAGCATAAATAAGATATTCTTAATAAGAACTTTATTCCACTGCAATAATTTTAAAAAGTAGATACAAAGATTGTATTGCTAAGTGTTTGGGCTTTATAGGAAGTGGTTTTTTGTACAGTAGTGTTTGGGCTTTATAGGAAGTGGTTTTTTGTACAGTAGTGTTTGGGCTTTATAGGAAGTGTTT